ATTGCCCGTACTCTTACACCCGGTTTCATTGCCACAGAGAAACTGCAAAAAATGCAAACAAATAGCGATCCGAAAAAGATATCATGAAAGAAAGACCCCGGTACTATTGGGACAACGTGTAAGAGGATTTATGGAACCAACTAATACCAAAGCTTCATGAGCGACGGAAGAATGGAAAATGTAACGTTCGGAGGAGGTTTTACGATGGTAAAGTGGGAGAAAAATCACAAGAAACAGACGCATGAGACGACACGAAGAAAAAAGGAGGACAAACCAACGCATTCTTCGATTTATGGCGTATGAGGACAAGGGGTTACGCATGCGGGACAACTGGTGACATAAAAGTATGGAGCAGCAAAACAAAGGTGAAAGGACGTAAAAAAAGCACAGTATATGGCGAGAGTGGCCTGAACGAATGAGCGGATGGGCTGCATTCGTGGTAAACCAGCCGGCCAATAGTAAGAGAAATGAACAGACAGTTGTTAGATGAGGTAATAATAACAATACGTATATTTCCCGATTGTACGAGAAGTTGTCCCTGGATTGTGGACAGATCATGGGTACAATAATTATCATGCTCATGCATGAGTGAAATATGTAATATGGGTGTATGACATCAAAATAATTTGGAATCACGTAACTTTTGTTGTTGCTGAGTTCTTTGTACCATCTTTAATCATTGATTATATATTCTTTGGTCCATCCTGGAAGAACTCGTGTGGTGATTTACCCGATGGAAACATGGTCATTATCGAGTTCTGGTCAAGGAATTTGCTAAGCTGAATATGGAATGCTCTTGCATTTGTGGAAAACCTGATTGTGGCTGGTAGGCTATTCCACACGACAGCGTATCTGAAGAGGAAGAAGTTGGATCGGATAGCTGTCCTGGTTCTCGGCACACATAATGTACAGGTCTTGTTACGCATATTCCGAGTGAAGTAATGTTGAATTTTAAGTGTACACAGATTGGAGTATGTCTTTTGGTTTATGAGATTGTGTATCAGCATCAGGTTATGTTTCAGTCGTCGCAACCAAAGGGGCTTGAGTTTAAGTTGCTGGCAGCGCTCCTGATAACTTAAGGTGATCGATTAACTGAACAAGCGCTTAGTGAATGATCTTTTCTAAAGCTTTCCTGTCACTTATTCGCATGTTCCCATAGATGATGCCGCAGTAGTCAAGGTCAGGAAGTGTAAGTATTTTGAAAAGCTCGAATCTGGCAAGGGCTGTATAGATTTTATGGCATATGTTAGCCACAGATCGTTTGGCACGTGCTATTTGATACTCAGCTTGCTCTGAGAAATTAAAGTTTAAAGAGTATCGTATGCCTGGATTACAGTTGGATAGTTTCACACAGATACGTTCATTGTTCAGTTTAATAGGCTCATCCGGGATTAAACAGCCGCGTGACATAATGAATGATTTACTAGCTGAGAAATTTAGCATCCATGTGATGCACCATTTCTCAAGTGAACCGAGGTCTTCTTGAACGAACAGGACTGTGCTATTGAGTTCGTCTTGTCGTAATTTATAAACAATCTTCATGTCATCGGCGAACAAAAATGGCCTGCCATGTTTTATGAACACCGTGATATCGTTAATATAAAGTAAGAAAAGCGAAGGACTAAGTACACTCCCTTGGATGACACCACTAGTGATTGGACGTGGGGAGGAGTTGTGATTACCCAGAGTGGCTATCTGGTAACGCCCATTTAGGTATGATGTCAACCAACCAAATAGTGGGTCTCTGATTCCAAATGACTCGATTCTTTTCAATAGCCGCTTGTGGGGCACTCTGTCGAAAGCTTTCTGCATATTCAGGAACAGTATTATAACTGCATATTTCGAATCAATGGCTTCTGTGATATACTCCAGGTAGCGCAGCGGACACGTTGTACAGGAACCTTTGTCGAGGAACCCATGCTGGAATTTGGTAAGTAGCCCATGACGATGGATAAAGTTCATGATTCCACCTCTAACTAATTTTCGAGTAATCTAGTGATCATGGGAGTATGATAGATAGGTCGATACTTAGTGACGTGCTGTTTGGGCCCCTTTTTATGACGAGGAACAATAAACGATGTTTTTCACTGATCCGGAAAGTAGCTAGATTCTAAGGACAAGGTGAACATGTTTAGCAAAAGCAGTGGTATGTCAGGTCCACCAAGTTTAATAACTGATGGGGGGATGCGGTCAGAGTCTGGTTTGAGCGACGGTTTGGTGGACTTCATAGCTTGTTGGATGATCGAAAGAGAAATTTCGACATTATCTATGTCGCCTGTTGTAAGTTCAGAGCAGCAAGGTATAGGGTGGGTTTTTAAGTTCATGGAAGCAGCGAAAAAAGTGCTAAACGCTTCACAAATAGCAGGTGGGTCGTTAAGGTTTCGACCCTCCTCATCAATAAGTTCTGTAATCAAAGACATTCGATTGTTAGTCCTACGACGGAGTAATTCGGCCAGTTCCTTTCCTTTGCATGTCATCCGTAAGGCGTTCTCCTCTTCCTTTTTAATCCGTTTCATTTGTGAGCCCTTGATACAGGCGATGGATTCGTGCAGCTGTAATACTAGTGAGAAGTCTCTAGTTTTTCTGAATTTCCCGAGTAGTTTTCTCGTTTTCAAGTCATTCAGAGTGGCGCTTACATTTATAGGACAAGGAATAGCACGTTGAGTATGCGGGACATGTACAGTTAGGATGTGCTTGATCTGGTAGTAGAAATGCTTCACTACAATGTGGGCGCTAGTGGAGAGAAAGAACCCATCCCAGTCAGAGGACCAGATCTACTTTCCGAAATGCTTCCAGTCAATCCTTCGTATAGTATGCTGGGTAGGTGAGTCGAGTTTGGTATTCATTTCCAAGTGAATGGAAAGGCGTAGCGTATTGTGGTCACTATCCAGAAGGTTGTCTAAGATGTCAATTCGTGCGTCAGGAATCCCCAGCGTGAAGATTAAATCCAGCATGTTGGCAGACCTAGTTGGTTTGGTAACCCACTGAGTACAACCCCCAACTCTGATAGTCGATAAGAAAGATCTGTGCAATGATGAGGATGCTTGTGGTGACCAAGTAATATTCGGTAGACTGAAATCGGCAGCGATTATCTTTAGACCGTGTGGTAACACCGATGCGAACTCAAAAACCGAGGAGATAATTGCGATATCTTTGGCTGTTGCTTTCAGAGGGTTGTAGATGTAACCGAGAAGTATTGCAGAGGAGGCTGCAGCGACCGATAGCCATAGAGATTCTGGGACATTGTTCAACTGTGGGTCATCAATGAACTCTGCACTGAAGTTCCGATGGAGATATACGATGCTCCCGCCACCTTTCTTAGTGCTGCGATCTTTTCGAAATAGATAGTAGTTAGGAATACCTAAAGTAGCATCCAATGTATCAAGGGAGCACCATGTTTCGGTGACGAATATTACATGTGGAGTGCTCAGCTGAGTAAGCATGCCTACAAAATGCAAATTGTTTTTATGCATCTTGTGTTAAATAGTATAAGTGAAAATGTAGTGTGCACAAAAACGTTTTCTGTAAGTACTTCAAAGGATTGCGAATCGGAAATGACAGGCAAGGAAGGTAACTAAGGGAGTGGTGAAAACAAACCCATCGGTGGCACGCTCAGGTGCAAGAGCATTGTTCGCGCTAGTAAGACCGGGTGGGCGGAAAAGATTGATGTCTCGAGGCAAGGTTGGGGTTTGTCTGATTTCGAGCTAACCGTAACATGTGGATGAACTGCTAGTAAAGTGGAACAAGGCAGGCTGTCTCTGCTGGGTGTGTCAGTGGTTGGAATGGGTGCAAAGTCATTCCCGCTTTCGCTAAAAAGGGTTTAAATTGATGGATTCTGAGGTGCTGTATAGATGGTCATCCTTCTACTCAGCCGGAAACATGCCGTTATGCTAGAGTAAATTCTCCAGCTTTCCAGTAGCAATAGTAATCGCAGTTTGGTTTAATGTACGGAATCACTGACTTTGGGTTGAACAGCAGCACTGATTTTTAGTGCGGTGGAACAACATATGTCTGAGCTACATGAAGGATTTCGTAAACGATCTGCTCTTTTGATTCGTTTTCCTGATCGCACCGGCTGCCCTGAAGTGGCGGACTCAGTGACATCAGATGTTGAGTTGGAAAGTAGGATGAAGCTGCGCGCATACTGTTGTGGGGAATTTACAAAACCGCCCACACAACATGTGCTACAGAACAGCTACACCTAAGCTTCCTAAGCGCAAACTCTGTGTGTACATGGTTGTTAGGTGACAGATCACACTTCCGTCATGACGTTCATCTTCGTTTCGAAGCTGGTGCCATTGGTAAGCTATGAGAGTCAAAACAAAGATGGAGGACTATTGGAGGGTCATTTTGAAGGACTAGTTATGTGAATGGATTGCGGCGTGCAATTTCAAGATGGAGAGCAATTCGCATTGAAGTGAGCCTTAGTCAATTCGATCATTAGGACGGTAGCCGAAGAAGATGGAAATTGGGTGTTGCCCACCCGAAAACACTGCAATACATGAGGCGTTTCGACGTCATTTGATCTAACCATCGAAGCCGGGACCATTAAGATGCTAGAAATAACCTTTAGCTATTGAGTCATGTAAGGCAGCGCTTGTCAACCTACGTTCACCACTACGGTTTATAATCAATCTTTTATCTCTAGCGCGTAGCACAGTTGTGGGATTTACTTCCATCTTGTGTTATCTCGCGCAAGCGTGGCTTCATCCACATTCTCTACTCAGTGGTTAGGATTCGTGTGGTCGTAGTCAGGAAAAAATAAAGTTCATCTACTCCCAACTTGGGAGACGGCACGAACGGATCACTTGGTCCGTACGAAGAGAAGCGAGCAACGCGGATGCCGCATAACACCGCATCGCAAGCAAAGCGAAGTTGCTCACATGTGTTTGGCAGAAAGTGGCTTAATTTCTTAGGGGAGCAATGCTACAAAGATGCGGATTCCATGAAGCGGCTAGGAATACCATTCCCCAAAACAAATAGGACATGAGTGTGTAACAGTTGAACGAGGCCTAAGCATTCTAAAATGATCTACAATAAGGTGGAAAAGGGGAAACCTGAAAAATCATTCCATGTTGACCATGGAAAAAGATCACATGGCTAGTAAACATCAAGTAACTATTACATGAGAGAAAGAGAAATATGTGAAAGCACCCGGTATTCATTTGTGTCGTGTGATTAATCGGATAAAATATTCCCCCAGAAAACTGGCGGTGAGAAGCATCGCTATAGCAATCAACAGTTTGGTGAACACGTCTTAACAGGTAGTAAGCCGCGATGAGGGGGACAAGGCGCCAAAATATACATTTGCTTTTCAAAAGGACAGACAATTTTGAATGATTCCAAAATAAATGAGCACGAAAACACTGAAATTGCATAAAACAAACCAAGTAGTGGAGCGTGTTGGGAACAAATTATTGTGTGAAGAAATAAGTGAAATAAAAAGCAAGGACAGTGAACGAAAACTGGTACGGTGAGCAATCCGCTCGAAGGGGCAGTTTGCACACAAAATGCAGGGCAATGGCCCGTGTCGAAGTTCAGCAAAATGAAGGATAAAATCAAAGAAACGTGTTATTTCTCAACTGAAGTGCTTTCAACACCAAAGAGAGATGAATGTATGGACAACTTCCCGGCTAACAATCTGCGTTCCTTAAGCTGTTGTTCTGACCGTCTAGCCTCCAAGGCCCTCAATTCCGCTTTGACGGCATCATTCATTTCGGGCATCAAAATGGCAACCCGGTTGAGATCCTCGGTGGCTAAATCCAGGTCCCAAGTTTCTACATAAGCTTTAGCTCGACGAAATAAGGCTTTTGCATTCGAAGGGTCCCGAGAAAGTGCCTCGGATGTACTCTCGATGACGGCGTAGTATTGCTTTAGAAAGAGAATACACAGAGAAGCATTAGAGCATAATTGAAAAAATGGATCCAAGCTGCAAGAAAAAAGTTAGAACTTCACAACGGGCGAAAATGAACAGCTAGCTCTTAAAACATGACGATCCGCCTCTGTCCCCCCCCATGGCTCAGTGACATAAGCTGCTGGCTAGTGATGCGAGCCGCTAGTGCAGATGGGTTCGGATCCCGATGGATGCGCACTACTGACGAGATTTAACGGCCGTCTAGTGCCTGATTTGGAAGCTACTGCGACGAAACTTCAACTGCCCATATCAAAAATACTCTACTCGTGAGTAGAGCAGATAACTGCCAAACTTCCAGAACCCTGGATGACAATTTCGTTGCAATGAGATCAGTTAGCAGCTCGTAGAGCAAAGATTCGATGAGGACTGGAGATAGCGAAACAGATCTAGTGAAAAGGGTGCCTGGAACAACAAAAACACGGCAGGGAACGGCGTTTGACGCTATGCGCAGCTGGAACCATACCGCAAGCTACCATCTAGCACCGGCTACCGAAAAACCATGAAGCAGTAGAAAACTGTTGCCTTGTACGAATGGAAAGAGGCATGTATATTATGCAATCGCATTGCGCTAGAGGAGGCGACCGTCTCGCAACTTCGCTATAGCGTTGACTGACAGGACCAACTTTACCCCACTGATTACTATGTACCAGACCTAATCTAAATAAGCCGTGCGTCACAGATGAGAACAAACGCATCGCAGAATGCGAGTCATATCCGCTAAATGCACGATCCAAGGGAAAGACAATCCATGTGGACTCTGGCCTGAAAGGCAAGACAGATTGACAAGACCCAGTATAGTTGTCCAACTTTATATTCCACTGCCCAGTTAACCTTTGTCCTCTTAACTCTGGCGTTGCAAACATAACAAGGCGTATTTGGATAAATAGTGAGCTGGTATATGTGGCACGTGTCCAAACAAACACGGCTTGTCCAATGGCATTTACTGCTTCAAGGAACGAACATTCTTATCAAATTCAAAGCAGTTAGTTCCCTTCAGAAATTCGAGAAGCGCGGTAATATGACGAAAGCTGGTAGATGCACGCATCTCGTATCGTCGCCTCAGTACCATTAACAATAACCGGTATGAACCTATATACTTAAACATATATATAAGTATATAGTTGCAAACCGCTTGTTGTTAATGGTACTGAGGAGACAATACGAAATGCATGCAGCTATTAGCTTTCGCCTTCTTATCGTACTAATATCAAAACCAAATATTCAGCTGTGCATATCAGCCTGGATAAACTGGCCGGTCGTAATGAAAATAGTCCTTAAAGTGGTGCGATGGTCGTGTACCACAGTTCTTGACGGGCTGAGACGAATAATCCGTGCCAAGAAACTTTAGAGCTACCCAGGCAAGTTAGTGGTTAACAGTCAGACAAACATGGTCATTGAATCCTCTTCTTTGGGGATTGGGGAGAGGTCGATTGGCGGAGAACACTAGCGATATGGGCAGTCTATGACGGAGCGCGTGCACCATCATTGATAAGGGTACTATAATCGCCCATTCCGCAAGCAAGATAGCTCCTGGTCGATAAGTTATAAACTCTATCTCCACTCCCATCGACTGTAATCCTGAGGCCGCCAAAACAAATTTAATCAACGCACTCTTCGCTAATTCAAATGGTAGAAAGTATGGATAGCGTGATCGCTGCGCGCGGTATGAATGCCCAAGTTCATCACTTAACAGTATCAGAACATCGCATCGGAAGCCAGTTGGGATCGACGAATGCAGTACTGTTAAAGACATCAGCTGCCACGTAATTACCTGCAGTCGCGCGTGTGGGTTGAGTAACGCGAGGGTTGCCTGGTTCTCTATGCAGACTCGAAACCGCGACCTGTGATTTGCAAGGTAGATACCTTAACCCACCACGCATGAAGCTTGGTCTCTATATCAGTAACACAGCTTTCCAGCACAAACATTTACACACAATTACATAGTATCCACCGAACGATAAATTGCACTAAACTCAAATCGACCACATTGCGATATGTTGTTACAGGTGGAGCACGTCAGTACAAAGTTGTCTTTCGATCTGGAGCCCTTGTCTCAATGTCGGCCACACTGTGATGAATGTCCCTCAGAGCTCGTTCTTTCAATCCAAGTAAATAACACAAGTTAGGTAGTGCTAGTTCACTGTGTTGGTAATCCGTGGGGCAGAGACATCAATTTGAATTGCAGCATCAGTTGTCCCTGATGAATGAGGCAAATGCACACTGGAATCGGCATTAATGCAAAACGCAGAAAAGATTCAAGATCGCTTGTTATCCAAGCTTGAAGTGTCTAAATGGTGGATGGATTTATGGGGCTTAGGTCAGTCTAATTGAGACAAGAAAATGAATGCATCCGGATATCAATTTCAAAGTGTTTACAACACTCAGAAATATTGCATAACGAAAATTAGTGGATGGGAAAGGCCAGTATCACTGGGATTACGCTAGTGCGTTACTGGTTTAAAGTTCCCGTCAGTGAGATTGCAGCCGGGAAAAATAATTGGTTGACTCACTAAAAAACACGTCAGGTAGAAGGCACTCCCGCCGACCAGATATAAGGGAATAGCTAGTTGGGTGCGCAGCACTGCGATCGAAGTGATAAGTGTTGACTCGCCCCTGCATACTTCCGCATATCCCGGGGTCGGTGCTTTGAGAGATAACCAACTGTCAGACTTCGACTATGAGGACGACACATCGCTAAACTGGATAGGGACTCAGGTGCTGGACAAGCAGCACCAAATAGGCTAACGCACAGCGCTACATGCTTTGGTATGTGCTTTGTAACTTCAAAGTGCAAGGAAATGGACTGGGCCGGCTCCCCGCTAATCCCCACTACAACCGAACATAAGCCAGAAGCTGTTGATTAGTTTACTTATCCAAACAGATGTAGTACGCTTTTGCTCTCCATATCACCAAACAGGTTAGTGAAATCATTAGGTAGGCTTTGAAAGGACTGAGCCACTTATGGAGAAGGCGGGAGACAGGTGTACTGGCAAAGGAAAAAATTTATGACGGTGTGTTATACTCAGTGTTACGGTGTTGATTAGACACTTGGGCGATGCGTGGCCAGAATGTTCAGTCCGAACGTGTTTGACCACCCATGCTTGCGGCTTCGCTATCGCCTACACTGACCCGATTGTATGTCCTGGACACCAGAAAGCTTATTAACTCAGTGCGCGGATACGGTGACTGTGTGTTTAAAACCTCGAAGTGGTGATTCAAAAAACATGCCGCAGGAGCATGGAAGAAACTCATCGAAAGACTGAGACAGGTTGGTTTTTGTCGGATTACTGGATGGGGTCTACGGGGACGACACATCAATGGTCGGATAAGCCGTTGGATATGGCGCGGTTAGAGAGTCAGTGGCGAGCGCTCATTCGCCACTTCGTCCCAGATTTTCGGCTATCGAAGTTGACGACCTTAGTGCTAGCTCATCACTCTGAATTTATTAGTATCATTAGTACCAATAATATTCCTGTTACGACAGGCGATCCGGTGTCTTAAAAGCACAACATTGCTCCACGCGTCTGATCGTGAACTTCACTCTCACCCACTGCTCTATTGTGGTTCATATGCATGAGGCCGTAGACATATCTTGCTCTATATTGTGGGTTGTATTGTCTGTTACATGTGATTTGACGTATGGTCAATACACTTTCCGGTGCGATGAAGTCTTTGGTAAGACGATTCTACGCCCCTTCAACCGAGAGTATAACAATTTCGGTGAGGTATGACAAGGTAAATGGACCAAGTGTACCAATGTGCACGGATCGAAATTGATCAACTGATCTGGACAGGCTGCCGCGACTCAATACAAGCAATGTCCATAACACTAGAAAGACCGCTCCGCCGTTATACCTAGAACGCCCGGGACCGGTCAAAATGACCGCACTGCTATATTTTTTTATCCCAACTTTCAGTTAAGAATTTTTCACGGCATTTATTAAAAACTAATGTATAGAACATACTTGTAACAGAAAAATGATTGTATTAAGGTTTAGTTTTTTTCAAAAATTGTAAACAATTCCGTATACCTACTCCATTTTGCACTTGAAGCAAGTGATAACTCGCTCAATCTGTCCACATGAGCCGCAAACTATTTTTTCACAAACAGAGCACTTGTTTTGTGATTTGTTACCTTTACAGTAACCAATCTGACACTGCCGACGTTTAATGTTCACACGACTTCCCGACTCCGCTGAGTTGTTCGTCGTAATTCCCGTTGTCACGTACCTTGTGTGATGTATACATGTAAGCAGTTCTTCCGAAAGACCCACCAGATACGACCGGCGAGATATTTTAGTTCCGCAAACACTGTTATAAATTATCCAGGAATTTATGCCAGCCAAATCCAGTACGTTGAAAAAGACTTGGACTGGTCATCGTCGAGATGATGACTTCACAGTGAGTGCTCTTGTCATTTGGTCGAGTACATCCACACCATACTTTGTGGAGTTGTAAAACAACACAGTCTCGGGTTTCTTCTTTCCAGAGTCTTGAATGGAAGAGTTACTAAGCAGGGAACTGAAAACCAAAACACTCTTATTCCTTCTACACTGGTAGGATGTTAATGTGTGCTTATTTTCATTCCTCATCATAAGTGAACTGAACAGCTCTCTATTTCTTTGCTTCAAAATCGATGGTACTTCCTTTCTATTAGCTCAAAGTGTTCCCACCATACTTGTGTTTTTCTTGGCCAGTATTTCTCCTAATGCTGTCGATGTAAAGAAGTTGTCACATGTGACATTTTACCCCTTTCCAAATAATGGTGACACCAAGCGCAATACCACGCTCTCTGCAAAACTTTCTCCTCTTGACCGAGTTTCGTCCTTCCCGAGATATGGAAATCCATTAAAGAGATACTTGCTGTCTACTTCTGCCAGCATCCAAAACTTGATACCGAACTTATATGGTTTGTTGGGCATGTACTGGAGAAAACGACAACGGGTTTTTAAGGGAA